ATATTACAACTACTCAAACAACAGCTTGTATAAATGCCTGTTATTTATTTTCACATTTCTTCAACAAATCTAATTTTACCGTTCTTCCAAATAAATAATTGGACCAGCATTTTTATAAATGCTAGCCAAGTTGTTCCACAACCTTATTCCTTGAACTTGGATGCATCTCTCTTTCAAGTTAGTTCGAATTTTAAGTTTCACAAACATTTCAAATCCTTTAAGATTATAAATACTCCCTCTTAACTAAATTACAGTAGATTGAGTGTTAAGTGTTAAGTGTCAAAGATAATGCATTTTTAAGAGCCCTATACAGTACATAACTTAGTAGTACACACTGATATATACACTGTAGTTACCTGGTATGAACCTGGTAATTGCTACCTGACGAATATGTACCTGGAAACTGTCTCAGTTCTACTGTTGGCATGTACCAAGAACAGACCAGGTTATTTACTAACTGGCACCATATGTACATAGTAACTAATAAGGACCTGGTACTTGTCAGAAACATACCTGTTTCTTAAGATGTGCCTGGTAATTTCTTGGTATGTACTAGCTTATACTCTGTACTACCTTGTAAATAACTGGTATGCACCTGGCACAGACCTGATCCATACTTTGTAAATACGTGGGTGAGTAAATGATAATTGCTAGTGCATATTTGCCACACCTAATTATTTGCCATGTACCAGATAAATACCTGGTACTTGCAAGGTTCCCACCTGGTTATACCAGGCTGTAATAGGTATCACTACTATCAAACAGTAGCAGTTTTACTTCATCCATTTTACTTCCAAAACCTACAGTGGACAAAAAATAATAACCATCATACAAAATAAAAATAACTTAGAAAGACTTCATAAAATGACGAGTTTAAAGACAGAGTGCATGAAAAAGCATCTTTATTACAATAGAGATAGAAAAGATAAAAGCATTGTTGGCATCATATCAGCTTATCACAGCACAAAAAGCACCACAGATACAACAACCAAAATTATACAGACCATGAACGGAGGCTAATTTATCTGGTCCTGTTGAGAAGATACAACGCAGAGATAGAAAGAGTCAGCAGCTCCACAATCACAGAGAGTCTGTAAATAATGTCTAATGATATAATAGCACAACGGTTCTGTGTGCAGTTTGTAAAACCACAGTTTTATTTTTTACAAAGTGAGGAGAGCTCTGCATCTCTGACATGATTAGACAAAGGCAAACATGGAAGAAGTTTAATAATAATGACTACGAAACAACAAGAAACACTCATTTATTTAATGCAACTTGGAAGCTCAAGTAAACACTGAGAGTATAAATACTTATAAGTATTTTTTTCATATTTCAGAATATATATATATCTATATATGTA